CTGGTGTAATATTATAGTGTAAAGCGCATAGAGCCTTCTGTTGAGCGGGGATATGCGCTATACAAATGCTATCTATTATTATTATTATTATTATTATTATTATTTCAATAGTTCATGCTCTGTGTTCTCCCTGTGTGATCTTTTTTTTCTCCACGTCTGACTCACTCCCTCCTCCAAACCTATCTTTTTTATGTCTTTGTTTGATATCTCCCTTTGGGTATCTCTCTCTCACACTCTTTATCGTTTAGAAGTGTTTTCTGAAACTGAACCACCTTTACAATAAACCAAGGTTCTTAGAATTTTATCTAATAGTTCTGTGTGCTTCTTTTCTTTGGTGTATTGAAGGTCAGTGAACTCTGTTCCTCTTTACTTGTGTTCGACATAGCATTGCTGCTGGTGGGCGGTTGGCGGGTGCTCTGGTGTGGTTTGCTTCTTCTTTCCTATCAAACATCTATTGTCCGTATCTCCCCTTCTTCTTTTTTATGTTTGTTACTCTTATGTAACACCTCTAATCTTCTGGCGCTCATATAACCTAAAGCAGTTGCGAGTGCCGTAAAACCTCTACTAAAACTAAAAGCATTGCTGGTGTCCTGTTTTCTCTCAATGAATTATTAAATATTAATGGTTGAGGCGTTCATGTTTTTTACACCCCCTGATCCTGGGGTTGGTAAGATGGAGCACTTGGACCCTAGTCTTCTTGGATAGGGACGAAAAATTTATGAGGTCCTGTGTGAAAGTTCCACACTTTAAGGATCCCTTACTGGTTTTATGCGCAGACAAAATTCCAAATCATAATACCTATCCACAACTTAAGCCACTTTCTATAAATATTAAGAGTACTTTTGAAAATGGCATATGGCTGCCTGCCAGGCAAGGGATGGTTCTATGTTCTTTGTTGATAAAACGTCCATGTACGTAGTATCAACCCCCTGAGCTCCAGCACCTTTTCTTCTTTTTGTTTAAGTTTTAGTAAGAGTTTTACGGCACTCGCAACACAATAAGGTCATATGTAAGTGCCGAAGAATAGATCATGTGTTACATGAAAGTAACATACACAAAAAAAGGAGGAGAGATAAGGACGATAGAAGATGTTTGATAGGATTAGGAAAGATGGAGCTAACCACACCAGAGCACCCGCCAACCACCCACTCTTTTTTACTTAGGATGAGTTTATCTTTTTTTCCCTCCCTCGACAACACCCAACTCATCCATAGTCGACTGTATAAAGTCAGACTTGGAAATGTAAGCTTATAGGTGGGGAGCTGCGAAAAATTGCTCAAACATCTCCCGTTCAATAACACATTCTTCTATTGGGGATTCAAACCACGGGGTAAAACCGGGGTCTATGGCGTACAACAAATTCAAGGAGATTTGGTCAAGAAATGTGTGCCGAAAGCCTTTTTCCAATGGGCCTACACTTGTCCGAAAGGAATCATAGTTTTGTTCCGACAAAAATTTTGTTCATGTCTGATCTGGCGAAATTCAAGGATTCCTCAAATTCAAGTTTTCAAGGAGAATTTTCCTTGAATGCAAATTCAAAGAGCTTACAAGGACTTGTTGAATTCAAGGAGGCGACAGGAACCTTGTGTGTAGCAGCTAGGGGCTTCAGCATCACCTGCAGACTGAGAATACCAGAGTTCAATTTCCGTTTGGGGAGATTTTTATCAAACGTCTCAGTCGCCACGGGGACATTGCATCCCTCACAGCTTGGGTTGGCCCTGACAGGCAGGGTCAAAGCCCCCCCCCCCTCCTAGATTTAGTTTTAGTAAGAGTTTTACGGCACTTGCAACACAATATGGTCATGTAAGTGTCGAAGATTTGGTGTTACAAGAGAGTAACAAACAGAAAGAAGGAGGGGAGATAGTTTTAGTTTAGTTTTAGTAGAGGTTTTACAGTGTTCGCAACTGCATAAGGTCATATGAGCGCCAGAAGATTAGAGGTGTTACAAGGGAGTGACAAACAGTTAAAAAGAAGGCGAGATAAGGATGACATGTTTGATAGGAAAGAAGAAGCAAACCACACCAGAGCACCCGCCAACCAACCACTCCCCTCCTAAATGATCTAGATTGTGTTCATGAGGGCTAAAAAGACCTGCATTTAAAAAAAAAAAAAAACCCATCCACATCATCATTTAGCATAATATTAACAAAGTTAATTATGGGCCCTAAGTATTCATAAGAGAAAAGTAAACAAAAGAGAAGCAAAATGGTAAAGGCAAGAGGGAGGGGGGGGCAAGAGGGAGGGGGAGGGGGGCAAGAGGGAGGGGGGGCAAGAGGGAGGGGGGGGCAAGAGGGAGGGGGGGGGGCTGTCAAATCAAAAGATCTACCAGACCTGCCACACAAGGTCTTTCTTTTTAGTAGAGGTTTTACAGCGCTCGCAACAGCATAAGGTCATATGAGCGCCAGAAGATTAGAGGTGTTACAAGAGAGAAACAAACATAAAAAAGAAGAAGGGGAGATAAGGACAATAGAAGTTTGATCGGAAAAAAGAAGCAAACCACACCAGAGCACCCACCAACCACCCACACACAAAGGTCTGAGACAATTTGTTTTCAGTAATATATAACCCGAAAAAAGGAACCTCTTCATATTCATTCAGTTGTAAAAATATATCTGACCAAAATCCAGGATAATTCAAATATCATATTTTTTATTGATAAAAAAAATACAAAGTATATATACATAGAAGTGGAAACATTTTTTCAAGCTCTGAAAAATATTCCCTTTAAAAAAATGAATGAATGTTCCATTTACAAGATCGGATCAGCACTTCCTTCTTTGGGATTAAGTAAAGTTGATTGAGACTCAAATTAGTGCTGAAAAAGAGCACAGTAAAATTTGAGAGTACAAAAAAAGGGTACATATGTACATGTAGGCCTATTCATTGAGCACCTGAGTCAAAGAAACGGTATACAAAATCGTAATTTTCAAATATCTGTCCCCGTCGTTTTATGAAAGAAAAATTCTGAAATTATGCAAACTGAGCTCAAAAATGTGAAATTATGGGATTCTTTTAATTTTAACAAAGAATGATAAATGAAAATAATCAGAAATTATGCCCAAAAAATGATCAAATTTTCCAAAATTATGTGGGGTGCATAAAGCCACGGGGACACAAAAAGCGGTATACAAAATCGTAATTGTTCACATATAAGGAAAACCAGAAGCCATAACGTTTCCCTTAGAAAAGGCTACTGGCAGAGACAAACGTCTGACTGGCTTAGAATACATTGGGGGGAACTTTATTGTACAGTAAAAAGAATTAACAAACCTTTGGTCATTATGTCACAAAAAGTATTTTCCACAACCAAATGTCATTAAGCCGCCACCAGAACATGACAACTGGAAAAGCACTTTTGGTACGGTATAAAAATATATCAAGGGAAAAACATAACAGACACAGCAGCTAAAGTTCATTTCCATCAGTAAATTAAATGAAAACTAAGTTGTTTTTTTAATAGTTTTAGTAGAGGTTTTATGGCGCTCGCAACTGCATAAGGTCATATGACCGCCAGAAAATTAGAGGTGTTACAAGAAAGCAACAAACATAACAAAGAAGAAGGGGAGATAAGGATGATAGATGTTTCGTAGGAAAGAAGAAGCAAACCACACCAGAGCACCCGCCAACCACCCACTAACAAACCTTTGGTCATTATGTCACAAGAATTATTTTCCACGACCAAAATCATGAAGCCATCACAAAAACGTGACAACTGGAAAAGCACTTTTGGTATAAAAATATATCAAGGGGAAAACATAACAGACACAGTATCTAAAGTACATTTCAATCAGTAAATGAAAACTAAGTTCAAAAGAACAATGATTTTTTAAATTGCATACAAGAGCAGTAATTGTAATACTGGTAAGAAAATATCTAATTCAGCTTGAATTCAACATTCTAAGTAAAAGATTTTTAGAAATATTTACATTTTATATTTTCATGATTTATAGAAATATTTTTACTTTATATTTTCATTGTGAACTGTGGCAACTAAAATACAGCTCAGTCCTTCATGAGCAAAATGAAAAAGCTTACAGTTGACATTAATTTTCAAGACTTAAAAAAAAAAATGAACAACGATCAACAAGTGTGGAATTTTGCTCCAGTCTGACAGTGGAAGGCATCAACAAATATATATAAAAACACACATTATTTCATGCAAATGTATACACGCAGCAAAAACATTCGGAATGTAAGTACCATAGATCTTCTTTCCAAGTAAGAGAAAAATTAACAGTATCAATTCAATGTCATTACAGAAATTGTCAATCAACTCAAATTAAAACATTTTGATCACTTTGTCGGAACCCCCCCCACCCCCCTCGACACACAACAAATGAGGAGATTATGCAGCAAAGACAGCTGTCACAGAGAAAACTTATCCAGCAGAACAATCAGCATCTGATTACAAGGAATGGGACAAATTTAAAGAAGAAACAAAAGTTTGAGCACCGTCTCTTTTAAGTACAAAATGGAAGGGTAAAAATCAACAACTTGTATCATATTTTATAAGGAACATTCCTCACATCACACATACAAACTCCAACTGCACAAAGAAAATATTGTAAGCCTTCATTTTCATGGAACAATTTTACTTTGGTAGTCAGAACCCACCACAATATGCCGCATGCCCGGGAAGTTGTCTCACTAACAAGGCGATCCCCAAGTCGGGATCGGATGCGGGAACAACTTTACTTTTTAGTCAGAACCAGTAGCTCTTTGTGGTGGAAACAAGACATTAAACTTTAGATATATTTGTGTCCCCCCCCCCCCCCCCACTAAATGTTAAATACCTATTTGCAGCTTGGTGAATTCAGGGAATTAACATAAACCCCCCTCTTTAGTTTTAGTAAGAGTTTTACGGCACTTGCAACACAATAAGGTCATATAAGTGCCGAAGATTAGAGGTGTTACAAGAGAGTAACAAACAAAAAAGAAGGAGAAGAGATAGAGAAGATAGATTTGTTATAGGAAAGAAGGAGCAAACCACACCAGAGCACCCGCCAACCACCCACTGCCCCTTTCTCTGAGGATACACTATCCTTTACTTTACAACAGACAGCAGACATCTCAACAACAAAACCAACAGGCTCCAGTCGAAAGCATCGCCGGCAGCTCATTTCACTAGCTCAGTATCAAGTTCTTGTAACGGGAGCAAATCATCTGCGAGAGCTTCCGCGCGTCTCCATTCTGCCGGTCAGAATCACACTGAAAATAACACGATAAACAAGTGGGAAAATAAGCTGTGGAAACCTCTCAGAAAGTTTTCTGCAAAGAAATCAGGGAACATCTTTAAAATGTTTGGGGTTTTTTCACATACACAAAACGATTTGAACTTATCAACTTCAGCTGAAAGATTGGCACACTGTCACTAAGACAAGACAACAGAGATGTTTCAGTACAGCTTTTACAGCGCTCGCAACTGCATAAGGTCATATAAGCGCCAGAAGATTAGAGATGTCACAGGAGAGAGTAACAAACATAAAAAAGAAGAAGGGGAGATAAGGACGATAGATGTTTCATAGGAAAGAAAAAGCAAACCACACCAGAGTACCCGCCAACCACCCACAGCTGAAAGATTGGCACAGACTAACTAGGGCAAGACAACAGAGAGTATACGTGTGAAAGACAAATATAACAACACAGTCTAAGGTTCTGCCATAAAACAACAAAGCACAACTTTTGTACCATGAAATCTGTGAACAATTGAAGAATTATCAAAGTATCGCTTAGAGATCACAAAATATTTGTCTATTTGTGATCCAAAAATGAAGAAACATATGTGGTATGACGTGGTGGAATCAGGCACTCGTCAATTTTTGGGTATTCGGAGCTATTAGTACCATTTGAAAGCCGTTTCATTTGCCTCGCTCCTAATGAAATAAATATCCATCTACCTTGATGAGAAGTCAAAATATTTTCAATTGAAGGAGATGAGGTTGCCTTGTTTCAGTGGTGAAATAAGCGAAAAAATGATCGCCCAAGTTTGGTTACTTCAATAGCTAAAAAGTCCTTCAAAACCGAAAAATGACTTATTTTGTGTCTTTAGTCAATGCTATTCAGTAAAATTCACATGAAATGTGTTTTTATATGGTCATAAAAGGGGTTGAGCAGAAAAATAAAAATTTGATAAAATCTTCCAAACTGACGAAAAAATACCTTTTACTCCGATTTCGTTACATTGACGAGTGCCTGATTTCACTAAGCTGCAACACACATTGCTCAATACTTACTTCAATAGGTTAAAGGAATGTAATTTATTTGAGGAAATAATATTTTTATATATATATATATATATAAAATGTCAATAGAATGTACAAATTAACCAACCAAATTTCCCCTTCAACTATCTCTCAGCTCGTGGTAAACAAGTTTTCAAAAACTATCAAAAAAGTTTGTTGACCTTTACTCTTTCCAAAGTATCTTATGTAGAGCCAATCAGACATTGATCTTGAGAGCCCGCACAGGACACTTACACACCAACAAGCACATAAACAGAATTAGCCCCAAGTGGGAACCCCGTTGCAGACACTGTGACTACCACGAGGAGACCGTTGAACATCTTCACCTTCACCACCCAAACCTGGCAGTTCTTCGACGAACGCTCCTACACACACCTACAGACTTACAAAGCCTGCTCTACTATGGCATAGACCAGATGACAAGGACATGTGGTTACTAGAGGGAGGCATTGCGCTGCCAAAAGCAAAATGCTCGCAGCTACAGGGATTTGAAAACAACAACCTTTTCCAAAGTATCGATGACCTGTGGGAAGGCACTCAACAGTCTAGGGTTGATCGGTAATGTGTCCAGATCCTCGAGAATTGTCATCATCGTCTCAGTGCCCTGCAACAAAATGCCAAACAGAAATTGTGAGTATTTTAGTGGATGAATACCATCCTGATCTGGAAAGACAGATCGCGACTTCAGCACTTTCTTGTCGTATCTCCATTTTTAATAACAGTGAAAACAGTTCATAACACAGAGTGAGCTTAAGAAGAAGTCACATTTTCAATGTTAAAAAAAATAATTAAGATACGACAAGACAGCACAGAGGTCACGAGATGGATCATGCATGCTACAATTTTTAAACTCTCCTTTAACACTTAAGTCATTTAGGAATATGGGAATCACTCCAAAACATGAATCCCTCTTCAGATCAAGCCAGGAGGAGAGTGATTTAAAGTAGGGGGTTAAGCCCAACAAATAACAGATTCTGGATCCTGTGACACTGTATAAAGAAGTGATTGTTACATCACAATAAAAACTGTCTTTTAGTTTTAGTAAGTGTTTTACGGCACTTGCACACAATAAGGACATATATAAAAAATTGTCTAACAAGACTGAACATATGATGCATTCAAAGAAAACGAGTCTAGAAAATTTCATAACAGCACTTAAGGAACCGGTCTATAAATTACAGCAGAATAAATAGACCCTATCATTAAGAGTTAAGTTTCAGTAAGATTTTACAGCGCTTGCAACTGCGTAAGATCATATAAGCGCCAAGAGGTGAATGTCAACGGAGAAGTCCAAACGGGGAATCAGGCTTACTCTGCTCACCTCTCTAGTCTAGCCTCATTAACAAAAAGTCTGTTTCGACTATCAAGGCACCCCAGATATAGCAGTTCACAAGAGAGTGACAAATTTGATATATACAAAAGAAGTAGAGGAAAAATGACGATAGTAAGGATGAGGAAAGAAAAAGCAGCAGTTCCCCCTATATTGCTCCGGCACAGTATGAGCATGACATTGATAGATCAGCCCACTGTGCATACGAACATGTTAATGTCCCCCCTTTGGGAAAGGCCTAAAGACACTTCAGTCAGTAGCACTGCCCTGGGGATAACATTAAGAGAACAATTTATGCTGGCCTGAAAGCAAAGAGGGAGCACACGGCAGGGAGGGAGAGTGGACGGAGAGAAAAAAAGACAAAGGACAAACAGAATTGAAGGTAGGGTTGGGAGGAGAAAAGTTGTTAGTAAGAGTTTTACGGCACTTGCAACACAATAAGGTCATATAAGTGCCGAAGATCAGAGGAGTTACAAGAGCGTAACAAACACAAAAAAGGAGATATCAGGAAGATGATAGATGTTTGATAGGAAAGAAGGAGCAAACCACACCAGAGCACCCACCAACCACCCACAAGGGAAGATTGAGTACAGACAGAGGGACGCAAAAGTGAAGAGTAGAGAGAATTGAGAGAAGGAAGGGGAAAGGAATGAGGGAAGGGAGAAGAAGTGCGAGGACAGTTGGTTCACCTGATCGTTGTCGTCATCATCCAGACAGTTGCTGAGGTCCGACTCGATTCTCATGAGTTCTTGAAGCACGGCTGGAACAAAACACACAGAGATCCAAGTCAAAGACAAAGCAATATTTGGGAATTATAGTAATAATAATAACAATACTAATAATAATACTAATAATAATACTAATAATAAATAGCATTTGTATAGTGCATGTCCCCACTCGAAAGCAAGCTCTATGCGCATTACACTATATTATTAATATGTGTCACGTTGGAATCAGACGTTCGTCAATTTTTGGGCATATGTGGTTATCGTTATCGTCTTAAAGCCTGTTCATTTGCCTTCATTTTGGTGAAAAAAATATCCATCTATGTTGAATAGAAGTCAAAATATTTGCGATTGAAGGAGGTCAGGGTCTCCCGGCTTCAAAGGCAAAATTAGCGAGAAAATGGCCGCCAAAGTTTGGTAACTTCCATAGCCTGCAAGTCATTGGAAACTGAAAATTTACATTTCCTGTGCCTTTATTCAATGTTTTTCAGTAAAATCCACACAAATATGTGTTTTTAAAAGGACATAAAAAGTGTTGAGCCAAAAGAGAAAATTAGAAAAAAATAGCCCATTGGCCGGAAAAGTGCTGACTTCTCTGATTTCATTATTTTGACGAGTGCCTTACTTCACCACGTTGCCTCACAGATCTCAAAGCTACCCTCATTATTTAGTTTCTCACATATCCACTCCCTCCCCCTAACCCTTCATTAAAGAAAGTGTAAACACTCTTTAAAAGACAAGGAGAGTTTTCTCTATAACCAAACAAATATACACACCAATGAAACCAAATTTCTCCTAAAGGTAGGGCAATGCCCACTTTTGGGGTAGGTCAAGGTTTCTGGAAACCCCTGGAATCTGGATTAGCCCGCTTGTCCTTAAAAGCGACCAATTACAGGTTGGTTTTTTTTCCCTTAAAAAACACATTGACACCAGGAATGAAACTTATCAACTGAGAACCTCCACTGAAAGCACATTTTCCCTTGGACCAGGCCAATAACTCATGGTACAGCACCTTACAAGCTAATACAGGGTGCCCACTACGGATGGAATCAGCCGATCGGGCCGATTGCCCAAACTAGGTCGCCTCAAAAACAAACGTGTTTGTTTTCAGTTTCAGGCGACCGAGTCAGGCGATCAGCCCGATCCATCCGTAGCCGGCACTCCGTATAATACTCCAAGGTTGCTCTACAAAGGTGCTTTGCAACCTTTTTATAGCCAGTGCCCAATTCTGCCATTTCTAAGAGGCTAACATTTCTACTGTATCACCCACCTCCATGTATTTCCAAGTGGAGAATGAAATGATAGCTGTCGCTGTCCCTATGGCCCATCACAATTACCAAATGTGAGGCATCAAGGTGAAATCAGGCGCTCGTCAAAATAATGAAATCAAAGAAAACGACATTCTTCCGTCGGTTTGGCAATTTTTTCCCAATTTTTGTTTTCTGGCTCACCATCTTTTACCGTGTTACGTCGATTTAAAAACACATTTCTGTGTGGATTCTCCTGAAAAATGTTCATTAAAAGGAAAAAAATGTAAATTTTCGGTTTCCAAGGAGGACTCTCAAGCTATAGAAGTCGCCAAACTTTGGTAAGTTATTTTCTCGCTAATGTTACCTCTGAAACCAGGCGATCCCTATTTCTTTCAATTGCAAATATCTCGACTTCTATTAAAGATAGATTGGTATTTTTTTCACTGAAAGCAACACAAATAGACCAGCTTTTAGGTGATACCAATAACTCTATATGCCCCAAAATTGACGAGCGCCTGATCCCACCACGTCGTGACACAAATCGCCCACTCGTTCGTACATATTGCCCAGGTTTGCAGGCTCTGCTCTACAATGACTAACTAATGAACAGAGCAAGCAAAGGAAGGGGCTCGATGAAAGAAAAAATGGAGCCAAAATAAAGCCAACCTCATGGGCATGGTAAAAAAAAATCTCAAATAATAAAAGAAAAGCCACAATTTTAAAAAATAAAACTAGATCTATTAAATTTCTAAAAACTGAATAAAAGCAGTTCCAAATATTTTGCTATTCAAATTTTTTAAAACTCACCATCTTGCAGTCTCTGTCTCCGCACGAATCTGTCTCCGTCCGAGGCCATCGTCTGACGTCTGCTCGTCAAGCTCGGAGAGGGCGACCACAACGACGAATGTGCCGACGTTCCCGACGGGTGGCCAGGCTGAGGCGGTGAGTACAGAGTCTGACGATTCTCCAAACGAGACAGCCCGCCCCTCTGGACTCGGACGGGAGAATTTTCCAGTTGCATTTTCTCTTCAGGTGTTGGCGATGGTGGCAAAGACGGAAGAGAAAAGGGATGTTTGTTCTTCTTCAGCGGAGACGCTGACAGTGGCGGAGAAGACCAAACATTAGAGCTGCTCATGTCTGAAGGAGCCTGATTATCCGTGCATTCTGTCGCATGATGGGTAGGACTAGTCGTCGAACACGAGGTCCCATCAATGTCTGGTACACGTTCTAATCGAGGCGTTTTGATTTTTGTATACGGCAACTCATGAGACACATTTTGTTGTCCTGGTACTTGGAAATCGTCACCAGCGTGGAAATCATCCGCCCACTCTTCATCAGCAGACGTAGATGGTCTGGAGCGTTTCCTTACAGAAGAAACTCGCTCCTCAGATGATGGAGAGTTAGGACTTCTTTGTCTTTTGCTTCTCTCTTCAATAGAACACGGAAGTTTTTCTTCCAACTCTTCGACTTCTGACCCTGATTCTTTGATTTCACTCTCCTGCAAGTTCACGTGGCTGTGGTACAGATGAGCGCTGCTCTCCTCCGTGACCGCATGTCCTTCACACTCTAGGACAAGATGTTCAGATCCTTCGTCAAATTTTCCCCTCTTTTCTTGTGATTCAAGATTCTCTGCTGATTTCCTCTTCATTTTCCCTTCATTTTTGGTCAAGTTAATACACATTTCTACCGGAGGATCTTTATCTCCAAATGTTTGTTCATCAAATGTTTGTTCATCATTGCTTTGACAATTTTCCCCATTGGACGTTTCACAACTCAGAATTTTGAAAGATGTCCTTTGACTATCAGCAACACCATCGTTTTTACTACAACAACCCCCACTGCTGGCTTCAGTATTTGAGCGCATCTCAGCACCATCATCCTCACAGGTTTGCACCGTTTGCAGATCATTCCTCTCCTTCCCTGTCCTATCCTCACCAACACGTCTACCATCACTTTCAGTGTCCGCACTTTTGTCAAGACATTCTGTTGTTCCATAACCTGAATCTACAGGATGGATTTCTCCGACACCGACATTGCATTCTACAAGTTCGCCCTTAGATTGTACAGCAACACTTTCACACTGTCCACCGTCTAACCTGTCAGATGAAGCATCCACAGTCTCAGCTTCTGGCTTTGTCCAGTTTTCCACACAATCAGAAAGACCCGAACAGCATTCATCTCTCTGACTGTCCCTTTTAACCTCAGACCTTTGTTCAGTAGTTTCCCCTCCAGCCGTTAGAACGGACAAATGATCAGACTGATCTTCAACATGTGTAATTTCATTAAGTTTTTCTGACATTTGATATGTTTCGCGAGTCGAATTTTCCTCCCACACGACCCCAGCAACATCAGCTGTACACATTTCTCTGGGATTCATTCTCCCTGGACTGTCAGAGACAGGGTCACTTTGTCCACTGTTACTCCGGTCTTCACTGTGTCCACTGTTACTCGGGTCTTGAGCTGCAGTCCTACTGCTGTTTTCCAAATCACATAAACTTTCACAGTGGGAAGCCACATTACTTTTCAAACTGCCACTTTTAGAGTTTTCCTCAACATCACTTCTTCTATCTTGTCTTGCATCTGCGTCAAATTCTGTTACAATCTCCCCATCTGACACGCCACTCTCTTTCACAGCTGAGCCTATACCAGTTGTAATGCAATTTTCAGATTCAACAAAATCTTCAACTTTCTCGTCTGAAGTTAGAGAATTATTCAAACTGACTGCATTTGGATCAACAATACTAAGGTTAGCACTTTCAGTAGTTTCAGAAGTCAACAGCTTTTCACCAAGAGGGTTACTGTGAGCGTGGTCTTTTTGTTCATTGTGAGTCTCACCTAAAACTTCACTCTTTGCCTCTTCATCATCTTCTTCGAAAATGACAGGGAAGGAAAAATCAGACAAAATGTCTGAATGGAGATCTACTGTATCTGTGCTGGATTCCGCTTGAGAAAATACCAGGTTGAGGTCATCCTCATCGGCAAAATCACTGATTCCACTGGTCACTGACCGCTGCTCATCCGATACTTCCGACACTTGTGAGTCTGATTGGTCACTCCCATCCCCCGGGGAGACGCTGCTTTTGTCAGAGCTCACATTTTCCAAAGTAGAGAGAGCGGGAAGTTTGAAAACATGTGCATCCTTGTCATCACTGCTTTCATCCTTATTGAAAACATGAGCGTCCAAGTCTCCACTGCTTTCATCCTGTGCATTCTCGTCACCACTGCTTTCATCCTTATTGAAAACATGTGCATTCTCGTCACCACTGCTTTCATCCCTATCTCCAGAAATCTGAATAGATCTGGAAACATTCTCTGAAGAATGTGAATGCACAGAGATAGCTTCCACTGGAATAGGCATAATATTCTCATTTTGCTTAGGTTCAACAGAGTTCTCTTCGAGGGGCAATACATATGATGGACTGAGTGACGATGTTTCTAAGAAGCCTTGAGTAAGAAAAATTGGAGGAGAGCTTTCACTAACTGGAGTGTCACCGACATGAAGTAAGCCAAGCCCTTTAATGAAATCATCTTTACGGACAGCTGGGTCACCACTTTCTTCCACACAAGAAAGTGTCATGTTTGTCAAATCATCACGTCTTGGGTTTTCGTTTTGGTAGCTAGAGGTTACTTCAGCTCCTGAGGTCAACAATTCAACAGTCTCCGATTCCTTCAGCTGCTTGCACTCAATGCGGGAATCATCTTGATCAGATACTGTGTTATTTCTGCTTGTATTAAAATTTATCGTTTCACTTTCAACAACAACAACATCATCATACACACATGCTGCCATCTCTATGGACTCAGCATTGTCTACAGAAGAAGATGTCACACCTCGTTCCGTGTCACTTTCTGAGGAGGGACAACTCTGGCTGAACAATTCAGGTGTGGACTGTACTTGAGAGCTACCGTCGACATGTTTGGCGGCTTCACTGTCCTCGGGGAACGACTCGGGCACAGCATCAGCGGGCTTACAGTTCTCATCAGCGAGCTTACAATTCTCAGCAGTGAGTTTACAGGTATCGTCAGAGAGCTTAGAGGTATCATCAGTGAGTTTAGAGGTATCAGCAAGCTTAGAGGTATCATCAGTGAGTTTACAGGTGTCATCAGTGTCTAACTTCTGTGCGGAGTCACTCTGAGACGGCCCAGTCTCAGATCCATAAGGCCACCGAACATCCGAGCCATTCTCTGTTCTCAAGGCAAAGATATCACCTTGAATAGGTATCTCCTCACTGCTACATTCTCCTGCCACCTGATCATCTGGCTCCACCGATTCTCCAACTGAATCACAAATCATCTTGCCACTTTCATCCGATACAGCATGCGTGTGATGACTAAGACAACTCTTTTCTTCTGACTTGAGTGCACTGTTGACTTCATCATCATCAACGTTATTGAGTTCTTCTGTGAATAATTTTTTGGGTTCCTTCATAGCAGCAGTCTCAAGTCCACCAAGCCGTTTCATTTCATCTCTTCCCACCCTTTCACCACAATCAACAGTTAATGTCTCCATCTCTGCATTGACAACCTCACCTACTAAAGAGTCCGGGTGTCGGACACTATCTATGGACGGTTGTTCTGTTGCTCCTACTTCACCTTTAGCCTGGTCACTCGACAAACCCGGCTCCAAATCCTTCTTACAAAGTGGATGACCAGCTGACTGGCTCGGGTCTTTTTCCACGGAAGCAAGTACACATTGTCTTTTCTGTTCTTTGTGATCTGCGTCATCAGTTTCTTCACTGTCCCTTGTGGGGTTGTTTGCACATTCTTTCACCCTTTCACAATTATTTTCCCCACACAAAAATTCTTCTTTCTCAGAGTAGGTGCCAATGGAAGGGCCCAGCACCATATTATAATTTGTTGTGACGACTTCTCGAAGCAGTCTCATATCTGCATCAACACTGAACTGCACGTTGTAATTTGTTGCCACGACTTCTCGCATCCGTCTCATCTCTTCATCCGCATTGCCAGAACAATTGCTTGAAAATTCTGCCTTTTTGGCTGAAGCACCTTTGCTGTTACGACTTAATTCAGCGACAATCCCTCGCCCTTCCTTGCCACGATGAGTGGTAGTTTTTAATCTCTGTAGAACTGCACGACCACTTTTACGAGTTTCAACACGTGAAACATTTTTTTTCACTTTCTCTCGACATTCCTTCACACTCACAACACGGCTGCTCTTCTCAAAACTTGTGTTATTTTCTACTTTCTCACCAGTGTTTCTACCACCACTGTCTCTGTGATCACTTTCCACACCCAAAATATCTTCACCTGCAGGTCTCTGTGAAAGAATATCGACCAGACTACCTGCTTGTCCACTGGGAAAATTGGATTCATCACCGTCACAATCAACACCCTTGTTACCCTCAGACAAAGTTGAGACAGCTTTCTCTTCGTTATCCAAAGTCACGTCCTGGGACATTTCCATCAACCCTGTTTGACCTTCAATGTTAAAATCATGAGTAGCGTCAGCGACTTGACACTCACTATTTATTTGAACTTGGTTTGTGCTTACGGTGGTGTCCAAATTGAACTCATTCTCCTCATTTTGCATGATACCATCGTTTTCATTGTTCGGAGTCCCCAAAAGACAAGCCGTAACATCTAATCCAGGCAGCTTTCCACCTTCATCTGCAGGCAAATGTTTTGTCAGTGTACATGAGTTTGGGCTCAAATCTGTGTTAGTATTGACAACATCATCCTCTCCATTCATATCTTTAACCGAGCATAAATCTGAGGTAACGTCTGAAGTATTATTCTGAAAGTCCCTCTGAAGGAACGCATCATCAGTAGCTCCTAACGTTATTTCAAAGCCTTGCGAAGTTCTCCTGGACAAGGTCACTTCCTGCGATGCGTCAATGACGAGAGTGTTGTCGTTGGTCGTGGGAGGAGAACTCTCAGATTCACTGCCACATTCCTGGACAGGACTTAGGCCAGACAGAGCCAGTTCACTCTTGACAGCTGCCCCCTCTGCACTCTCAACAGGGGTACTTGTGACATAACAGGACATTTTTGAAACATCTGAGGATACACTCAAAGCTTCCATATCTTCATCACCTCCTTCCGGCATGCTTACAACTTCCGTATTTTCATCATTTTCTTCCGGCAGACTTACAGCTTCCGTATTTTCATCACTTCCTTTCGGCACACTTACAGCTTCCGTATTTTCATCATTTTCTTCCGGCACATTTACAGCTTCCGTATTTTCATCATTTCCTTCACCAACAATAACCACAGTGTTGTCATTGTCAACAATCTCTGTAATATCAAGACTTTCCCTGCGCTCCCCTTCGGCATGATCAGTTGTCTTTATCAGATCTTCCTTCTTGTTCGCATCAGTCTTTTTAGTCGCAAGATTTGTCTCATCATCTGTCTCCACCAATGTTGTTGGATTGCTCTCGTCCATTTTAGTTTCTTGTGAATAAACAAACATAGAAATACTTGTTGTATCTTCAGACTCGCCCTTTGAAACTGAGCCTGTCTCAACAAAGACTTCACCATTCTCCGCTGCGGCTGTCTCACCTGAAATACGTGCACCTCTATGTAAAACAGTGTCATTAACTACTGAAGTACTTTTTCCACTAGCTCCTCCCGCCAAAGCTTCACGATAACCTGACAAAACGTCCCCATCTGTCACTTGCTGTGGGATTTCAATCATTTTTTCTCCCGAAGCACCACAGTTGTCAGTACAAGTGTTACCCTCAAGACCTTCGTCGTGTACTGGAAGATGGGTCTTACCAAAGTCTTCACCTCGCACTGAGGGTACATCAACTGCTTTCAAGGCTCCAGAACCACCAACAAGTAAATCCTCATTTTCTGCACTTAAATTCTTTTCTGTAGCATTCATAGAGAAGTTCCTGACATTCACGAAAGCATTTTCAGGAAACCCTTGGTTAGAATTGTTATTAATCTTTTGATTACTGTCATGTTTTTCCACTTCTTTATCATCTGCAGGTGACATAGTTTGAATCTGACCACTTTCACTGCTAGTCGCCACATTCGGAATCTCCTCCTCATCCTCTTGACTATTCAGAAGATTGAGAATAACATGCTCTACACTAACTTTGCTAGATGAGAAATCAGCATCTCGAGCATCATCTTCATCAGAAAATTCAACGTGCACACTGGCACTTTTGTCCCTCACATCAACTGACCGTTGACATTGTACGGAAAGTTCTTTGCAAGCAGACATGACTTTACTGACAACAGTATCCACAGAACCACCGTTGACATCATTTTGCCCTGGTGCTTCGGAAACGCAGACTGTGGTCGGGGGAAGGACATTATTGCTACCGGTACAGGAAGAGACAGAAGGTTCATTAATCCACACTGGAGCTGTGTTGTCATCAAAAAGCATTGCATTTGAGTCTGAATCAGGTTCCATTGTATTTTCGCCCAAGTCAGGTTTCATCAATTTGGGTGCATGTGAACCATGATCCTCAATTTCTTCATGATGTTCAGCGTTGCACTCTACTACACTGGTGTGGTCAGCCTGATTGCTGCTCCCCGCTTTTTGCAAAGACTCATGGTCACTCTGACTGCTTGGCTGTTCCAATGACTGATGGTCATTTTGACTGCTTGGCTGTTCCAAAGACTGATGGTCACTTTGACTGCTTGGCTGTTCCAATGACTGATGGTCACTTTGACTGCTTGGCGGTTCCAAAGCCTGATGGTCACTTTGACTATTATTCCCTGGCTGTTCCAATGATTGACTGTCACTTTGACTGCTTGGCTGTTCCAATGACTGACAGTCACTTTGACTACTTGGCTGTTCCAATGACTGACGGTCACTCTGACTGCTGGGCTGTTCCAATGACTGACGGTCACTCTGACTGCTGGGCTGTTCCAATGACTGACGGTCACTTTGACTGCTGGGCTGTTCCAATGACTGACGGTCACTTTGACTACTTGGCTGTTCCAATGATTGACGGTCACTTTGACCGCTGTTCCCAAACAATTCAGGTGTCTGCCAGTCGTACTGACTGCAGCTTTCTATCACTTCATACATCTGATGCTCAGTTCCACATCTGTTGCTGTCACCACCAAGCTGTCCCGAAGAATGAGGCTCAGGTCGACAACTTTCTCCCGGCAGTACAGACGCCAGACGGTCACTTTGAGCGTTACTTCCCAGCTGCTCTGAGAGCTGAGAGTCAGGGCCTACACCTGAGCCTGACGACGGAGATGAGTCCACAACAAAAGCTGCTGAACTTTCAACAATTTCAGCAGCTGTAACGAGGTGACTTTCTGCCGAATAAACGTTCAGATTGTTTTTAGGAAGTGCATTAAGTTGAACATTTCTGACGTAAGCATTTGTCACCGACGGTAACACTTCCCTATCTGTCAGTGACGGTAACACTTCCCTATCTGTCAGTGACGGTAACACTTCCCTATCTGTCAGTGACGGTGACATTTCCCTATCTGTCAGTGACGGTGACACTTCCCTATCTGTCAGTGACGGTGACACTTCCCTATCTGTCAGTGACGGTGACACTTCCCTATCTGTCAGAGACGTTAACACTTCCCTATCTGTCACTGACGGTAACACTTCCCTATCTATCACTGACGGTAACACTTCAGCACCTGTCAATGACGGTGACACTTCAGCATCATTTTCTTCAGGCTCGAGAACATTTTCTGTACTTGTGACCGGTAAGAACTGTGCTTTCCTATTTCCCGCATGTGAATGAACATTTCTGAAACGCTCCTCTTGCTCGCTGTGCACGACAGAAATGACGTCATCGCCTATGTTCCTGCCACCAGTGTCTTCCTGTTTGCTCCCATCTCTACTAGTAGATGAGCTGTCAATTTCTTTTTCTACAAGCTCAGAATGTTCTTTGTTCTCTTCACTGTACACATACAAAGTTTTGCAAGATTCGGGGCCAACATTCACGATATCACAAGCAGCGTCAGTTTCTCTGTCTTTGGACGGTTTCATCTGTGTAATAATACCGTCACTGCAAAGAGTTTTGCCCGATGAATCAGTGCCGATCTCTAAAGGCTGGATTGAACATTCGACATTTTTATCAACTCGATTTAAAGGAACAGTTGTCGAATCACTTTTCGGAGGTGAACTAAGTCCATGTTTTGAGGACGGTGCTGGAGGTGAAGCACAAAGATGGGTGAAAACTGTTGGCTCATCAGGAAGACTTTTACAGGGGGGAGTAGCACCAACTGAAGAACTATTACGGCTCGATTTGTCTGCACTCGATTCGATCAGAGGTACACGAGCTTCACTGTTGGGTAACGTAAACTGACATTCTTTATCCTCAGATTTTTTCGCTACTTGGACAAAAACGTCAACACCTCTCTTCAATTTTGTGTCTGTCTCCGAGGGCGTGTTTGCACGACAATCGTTGTGAACTGTGGCTGGTGAGTTCTGGCAAAGATTTGGCGGCCTGAGCAAGTTGGAGGACGGAACGGGAGATGACGAAGGTACTGTTGTAACGTGGACACCGGGACGGAGCGGGGATTTCATCGAGGAGTCCTCACAGCACATCGACTCGTTACTGACAAAAGTATTTTCACACACGCTGGACGTATCAAGACGAACACTTCTGTCCAAGAATTCGGTGATTCTTCTCTGGTTTTGCTCCTCAGAAGCATCTACACCTGCAGACTGCCCGTCAGAACTTGCCACACTACTCTGGGCCGCAGCTTTCTGAGGACAGAAATGACACAGGCACTGAGCAAAAAATTACAGAAATCCACTGTCAATAACAAGTAGCTCTTTACAGATTAGGCATCTTTTTTTTTGTTTTATGGCGCTCTCAACACAATAAGGTCATATAAGTGCCGAAGAATAGATGTTTCACAAGAGAGTAACATACACTAAAAAAGAAGGAGGAGAGATAAGGACGATAGACGTTTGATAGGAAAGAAGAAGCAAACCACACCAGAGCACCCGCCAACCATCCACAATTTAATACTTTAATTTTGATATTTTTGTACCCATTTAAAAACAAAAACAAAACAGCTACAACAAATACAACTACAATAACTAACCACAACAACACAATCAAAAGTTTGGTACTAATCTGGTTCTACAGATATTTACAGCTGAAGGTTCAAATATAAATTCTCTGGCTATCTGAAACAAAAAGTGTAACAGTGCACACTATTGAATGCCACACAATGGCCTCTTGTAAAGTAGCAAAGAGTTATGAGGGCTAGTGATCCTAGAGATGAAGCGATTTCTCTCATGCCACATAATTTGCTCTAACTCACAGGTGCACAGCCACTTTTAAGTATAGCTGAATAACTTGACTCTCTTCTTTAAGGTGTTCCCTTAAAAGAACGGAATTTATATATGAGGAGCGCCACTGGACTTTTGTAAAAATAACTGAAACTTTTTTTTAGACTAGATTCAGCTTGAGACGAAGCAATACATGCAACAAAACAAAACGTCATATCATCATCATCAAAGCCTTCCACCCTGGCAGGGTATATATAGGCTACATACACGCTCCTTCATCTCTGTCCTGGGCCATCCTTTCACCCTGGCAGGGTATATATAGGCCACATACAAGCTCCTTCCTGTCTGTCCTGGGCCATCCTTCCACCCCTGGCAGGGTAGAGGCCACATACACGCTCCTTCCTGTCCATCCTTCCACCCTGGCAGTGTATAGGCCACATACACGCTCCTTCCTGTCCATCCTTCCACCCCTGGCAGGGTATAGGCCACATACAAGCTCCTTCCTGTCCATCCTTCCACCCCTGGCAGGGTACAGGCCACATACAAGCTCCTTCATCTCTGTCCTGGGCTATCCTTCCACCCCTGGCAGGGTACAGGCCACATACAAGCTCCTTCATCTCTGTCCTGGGCCATCCTTTCACCCCTGGCAGGGTACAGGCCACATACACGCTCCTTCCTGTCCATCCTTCCACCCCTGGCAGGGTATAGGCCACATACAAGCTCCTTCCTGTCCATCCTTCCACCCCTGGCAGGGTACAGGCCACATACAAGCTCCTTCATCTCTGTCCTGGGCCATCCTTTCACCCCTGGCAGGGTACAGGCCACATACAAGCTCCTTCCTGTCCATCCTTCCACCCCTGGCAGGGTACAGGCCACATACAAGCTCCTTCATCTCTGTCCTGGGCTATCCTTCCACCCCTGGCAGGGTACAGGCCACATACAAGCTCCTTCATCTCTGTCCTGGGCCATCCTTTCACCCCTGGCAGGGTACAGGCCACATACACGCTCCTTCCTGTCCATCCTTCCACCCCTGGCAGGGTATAGGCCACATACAAGCTCCTTCCTGTCCATCCTTCCACCCCTGGCAGGGTACAGGCCACATACAAGCTCCTTCAT